GGAATCGCTTCCTATCGGCGCATGCCTAGTGACCTACGCAAGTTCTGCGATGCAGTCGTCCACGACGACCAAACGGTTGACGGATGCTCAGCGCATTGACATCTACATTAGAATGTCGCTGCTCAAGGCCAACGGCCGCATCAAGCATGGCGAGCTCAAGAAGGTCTGCGATGAGTTCAAGGTCACCAAGGGAGCACTGGCCAAGATTTGGAAGCGCGCCTGCGAGACACGGGAGGTGGACGGCATGGTTGATGTGCGTTCCATGATCAAGGCGAACAGCGGGAGGCCACGCAAGCTGAACATGGCTGAACTCGAAGCCAGGATCAAAGGTGCCCCAGCTTTCCAGCGTTCGACGTTGCGCTCTCTTGCCATTCTCAGTGACCACTTCGACAATGGTTGTCAGTTTCAAGACGAAGCCGACTTGTCCAATGTGGATTCCATTTACTCTCAATTAGTTGGCGTCGAGTTAGTTTCAGATGAGTAATAAATGTATGATAGCATGCAGTCTCTGGTCGTAAAACAGCAATTTTGAATAAAAATACAGGTCGACGAACCTTTTTTATTTAATTGTTTACATACTTTCATATAAAATTCACATTTATATAAAGGTGGGCTTCATTGTGGAACAGAGGAAGTATCATTTTTGTTAAAAATCAAAATCGTAGTTATATATAGAATATATATACAAAGTCCTTCTGCAGTTAAAAACATGAATTTTATAGATTTATAATAAATAGTAGTCCAATATTAGGTATATTTAAAATACAGTATGCTATTCATCTATTTCTCTTGATCCCCATGCATGCACCATAATTCTTTAGCCCCTGTCCATATTTAGCTCAACAAAATCATGAAATGTTGACATATAATAAACTTTTTTCAGTTTGGTCAAGATATCCTGCTTCTTTATATCATGAAATGCCTTTTCATTATACTTCATCTATTCCATATTAGTGCCGACACTTCGCCTCCAAAAATTGAATTCTTGTGAAAATTCGATGAATCATATCTTGTTCAATAGGAAATCAAATTCTAAAGGAACCCTCTATTGACTTCAAAGCGCGAAAAGCACATTTGGCGACCAATTTTCACTTCGTCATCGAGTCTTAGAATAAATTTTCAAAATGTGAAGTACCAGAATTATATTTTCGGGTCCTGAATACATCGACATCCATAGCACAGAATACCAGCAGCAGAAAACTCCCGCACGCAAAGAAGATGGAAGTGATATCGTCGCCTGCATCAACTGTCGAACATGGGCAAGCTGGCTCGCGGAGCAATCGCCTTAACTGCCACTGGATTCAAAGTGCACTGTAACACTGTCGCTGGCATCTGGAAGGCCAATCAGAGAAACCCCCTGTTGCCTTCATTAAAAATGAGCCGCGTCAGGCGACCGCCGATATACACACCAGACCTCGTCGTCAACACTGTCCGTGAATTGCCACAGTCGCTCCACTCCACTATGCGCGACATATCCGAAGCAACGGCCATACCTCTTGGTTCGCTCCATCGATCATTGAAAGCTGAAACTTTTCAGCACCACATGACCCGAATCTAACCTTTGTTGTCCGACAGCAACAAAGAGGAGCGCCTCTCATTTTGCCCGATTTTCGACGAAATGTGGGATGTCGTGCACTTGGATGAAATAAAATGGTACATCGCTAATAAGGACGTGCGCAAGTTA